CTATTACAAAGCATAATTATGAACTCAACAACATTTTATATGTTGACGCTTTTCAAACGACTTGTATTCTCAGGAACACAGTGAGTCGGATTCTATACATCTATGGATTTTGAATGAATGTTGTATTTTGATTTCATCATACATTTATCATTTTGGGATGTAATTTTTTTGAACAAACACAATGTTGTAAACCATGTATGTTGTTATCTTAAATGTATGATGATGATGGTTGCTATGTTTCATTCATTTCCAATTGTTATGATATTTCAAGATGAAGTCACCCGCCCCTGGACGTTTTCGTCGTCCCAGTTCGGGGGTGTGACATGTTATATGTCAATAGGGCCTTGTTCTTTCGAGTGTTATACCAAACGTTGTGATGAGAAATGTAAACAAATGACAGGTGGTGTGGGATTTTGTGTTAGCACCAGAAAGGCTCTTTCATTATGCCAATGCACATATCCATGCAATTGATCTTGACATATATTGTTTAGAATGTAATATCAATAACCATAAAATATGTTACATTTCAAAGGTTAAAATACTATGTTTCAATAATCGATAACTCCTTATGATTGGATTATTTTTCTTGCTAATGTCTTGTTTATTAGGTTATGGGTGTGGTATCACCACATCATGTAGTAATCTGGCTTTTACTGCGTTAAGGTGCAGACGTGCAGTGAATGCCCCCTATCCATTTTGGGACCTTTCGGATATTCTCCTATTTAGTCTGTAATTTGAAGATTTAAGAAGCCATCGATACAAAAAAGAAAACTTCCATAATCATTTAAAACAAAAAAGAAAATCTGGTTGGGCTACGATTAATCTTGTTCACTAAATAACCAACTCCAGGTTCAAAGGTGCAACTTCGGCTTTCATGTGAATCTCATCCACATTGGATTTAAGCTCTTCTAATTTTCTTTTTTCGAGTTTTTCATTCAATGTCCAGCCACCACTGCAAAAGGCAAAAATACGATTACGATTCGCGAACCTGGGGAATAATGTTAAATATCTACCTGATGCAACCTTATTTCCTAAGAAAAACAGAACACTGATGAAGTAGCAATTAATGCAAAAACAGCCGATTGGAAAACAATAGTCGAGAATGAAGAAGTGAACAGGGCAAAATAGGGGAATAAGAAAACACAAGAGAGCTTTCTAATTACTTGTTGAACAAGAGTTTTTATTGCTGGAAAACTTAAATAAATAAACCTAAACCTATACCCTTATTTATATTAAAACAGATATTATCCTAAACTAACACAAATAACGCTTAAAAAGAAAGTTTCCAAAACTGCCCCTGGACTTAAATTGTCCCATATTTCTGTATTAACTCGACATTTTCCCCCTTAATCTAGAAACTTGCACCATCTTCACTCCTAGGATTTTTCTCATGTCTTTAAACTTGTTTTTTCTCCTAAAAACCTTCAAATCAATGTCATCTTTATTTGCTCTCCATTTTCTTTTCCTAGACTTCACTAGAACCTTTTCACAAAATTGACTTTGACCATCCTCATGGAGTTGTTCTTTTCTCTTTCAAGGTTTCAAGCATCCATAAATATAAGATTTAGGAATAACATTTAAAACAATATCTTTTCCTTTAAAAGTCATTTTCATCACAGATGTTTGATGACCAATCCTTAGCATCTGCAAGGTTATCACCTTAGCCCTAGTAGTCTTGCCAAATACATTTTTCTCAATTGACTTTAGCTCATCCTTCATTGCATCGTCACAATCGTCATTCACACCGTCCATGATGTATGTTGTGGGCTCATCACTTTGTAGTGTACCAGGCAAGCTAAAATCGTTTGAAGTGTACTCATTCCACCTTTCATCTTTATGACAGCTTGTCACATCTTTTCTCATACACATGATACATAAAACTGGATCAAGTAACTGTTGCGACTTCGATCTTTTCTTGTGCAATAATTATGAAGTTTGAGTAGCATATGACATAACCATCTTTTCTTTCTCACATTTAGCTAACCTTCCTAAGATATTCTTTTCTTCTTGTGAATCTGAATCGTATTTTCTATCAAATTCGGGATGAGTGTTACTGGTAACATCCTTAACTTGAAACTCGCCTACTTCATTACCTAACAGTGAGTACATGTTTCTTGTTCCTCCAACCGATGTACATAGTTTTTTATGAACTATATTTTCTACCAAACATCCTTCATACCAACTTGTGGTGACTTCAATCATCGGTTTTTCACAAACCAATACTTCTTCAAACATTTGATTTTGATTGAGTAAAGATCCTTCAACTTCATTAAATAAACATCGTGGTCCGATTTCATTCAAAGTTATTTGATAGAGTTGGTTTTCAGATTGCTTTACCTTCATGAGCAGTGAATTCCTTTTATCTTGTATCTATAGGTATAATCCAAGCATAATGATACGATCACCGTTTTGTGCTAGTTGGCCCAAGCTAGTAATATTACTACATAGTTTTGGTATGTAGTATACTCCTTGAAGCATCTTTTGCTCATCATTCTTACACTCGAATATAATTGACCCTTTTCCTTCGACACGTACCTTTGAGCCGTCTCCAAACATCACATACCCTTGAACCGCTCGGTTAAGCTCATGGAATTTGTCTTCATCCCTGGTCATATGGTTACTCGCGCCATTATCGAGCTAGCAAACCTTAGACTGGTTTTCTTTTTTTCATCCGGTTTAAGTTTTAGATTCACCTTTTCTTCGTTTAAGATAACTTCATCTTTGGGCTCACTATTGTGGAGTACTGCTAGTAGTAAATCCGCTTCATCGATGTGACCTTGGGATAAGTTTGCTTCGTATTTTTGTTTTTCTCATCTTGGGTTCTTGAATTATGCATCATAATGCCCAAATTCTTGGCAATTGTAACATTGAATGTGACTCTTGTCTCGACATCATCCCTTCCCCCATGGTTATTATTGTTGTTTCGCTGCTTTGATTTCGAATCTTCTTGGTTCTGTTTCTTGGCTCGTTCTTCCCATTCTTCGTGTGTTAGCAATAATTTTTTCTCATCAGGTTTTTGGTGAACCTTGATTCGAATTTCATGTGTCGTCAATCTTCCTACCACTTCTTCAAAAGATATAGTGTCGAGATCACCGAATTGTTCAATGGTCGATGCCAATTGAACAAACTTTGAAGGTACATCACGTAGTACTTTCTTTACTACGTGCTTTTGGTTGTTGCCTTGACCTCATCCCTTTCCCCCATGGTTATTATTTTTGTTTCACTGCTTTGATTTCAAATCTTCTTGGTTATGTTTCCTGGCTCGTTCTTCTCATTCTTCGTGTGTCGACAATAATTTTTTCTCATCAGATTCGTGGTGAACCTTGATTCGAATTTCATGTGCCATCAATCTTCCTACCACTTCTTAAAAAGTCATAGTGTCGAGATCACTGAATTGTTCAATGGTCAATGCCAATTGAACAAACTTTGATGGTACAGTACGTAGTACTTTCTTTACTATGTAATCTTTTTCTATCGTTTCACCACGAGCCCGTATATTGCTTACAATATTCCCTATCTTTGCAGAAAAATCGTTCACTGTTTCTGATTCACTCATGTTCAGCATCTCAAATTCGGCTTTGAGAGTTTGAACCTTGGCGGTCTTGACTTGATCTGCTCCCAAGTACATCGTCTTGAGTGTTTCCCAAGCTTCTTTTGCCGATTGCTTCTCTGCTATCGTCAATAGAACCTCCTTGAATCGCTTGGTAGATGGCAGCCATTGTCATCTTGTCTCTCTTCATACCCACCGCATTTTGTGGGTTCTTCGGCTCGATCGCTTCCCACACCTCTTGCGCTTGCATGTAAACCTTCATCTTAATAGACCATGCTGCGTAATTCGTCTTAGACAGCATTGGGTATTGAAGTGTAACCGATCCATCCTTGTTCGACATCGCACCAGATTCACTCTGATACCAAATGTTAGATATCTACATGATGATGATTGTGATGCAACCTTGTTGCCTAAGAAAAACAGAACATAACAGGAAGGAATAAGTGAACAGGGCAAAACAGGGGAATAAGAAAACACGGGAGAGCTTTCTAATTACTTGTTGAACAAGAGTTTTTATTGCTGGAAAACTTAAACAAAGAAATCTAAACCTATACCCTTATTTATACTAAAACAGATAGTATCCTAAACTAACACAAATAATGCTTAAAAAGAAAGCTTCCAAAATTGGCCTGGACTTAAATGTCTCATATTTTTGGATTAACCCAACATAAGTCACCCTCCAGCCATTTTGAAGGACAGAAACAAGCTCCGAGTTGTTTGAAATTCAATAGAGAAATTAAAGTTATATATCATGTACTGTTGTCAATAAATACTTGTGTAAAAATGCTGAATAATATTACTGATTGATATAAGAGAGACGGGTGTGGGCAACTCGAAGCCCCGTTATAGGTGACATGGCGCCTAATAACGGCGCCATAACGGGAGGAACACCGCCCCCCTTAGCCGTTATTAGGTGTTATGTTATGACGCGTTATGGTGAACACGGGAGGTAACGTTGCGATTTTGCTTGTGTTTTTATTCAACCGCCATAATTTCAACCGTTTGTTTCAAACGGTAACATAAAAAAAAATCAAGTTTTATTGGTGTTATCACATGTTATTAGATGTTGCCCATTTCCACCTTGGGTGTTATAACACCCATGTATGAGTAGGATGCTAACATGACACTTTTTGGGTGTAGTAACATGTAATAACATGTTGCCCATAGTCTAATATATCACTAGATAAAAACAAGATATCATTTATTGTCGTCAATATATACTTGTGTATAAAAGTTGAATAATATTTTTGATTGATATAAGTATTAAATAATAAAAAATCAAATTATATCGTCCACACGCTCGAACAACCCACAAGGCTACAACATACGTCGACCATGACGGAGGGGTAGGTGACTCTATCGCAGTAGTATTTATATGGCCGTTCACCGAATAATATTTAGAAACCTAACCTGAAATCAGGAGTTGCTGATAGATTCAGATCGACGGAAAATGCCGGATGAAGTGAAGTTGTATGCCGTTGCAGGAAGTCCATTCGTTTGCAGAGCGAAAATCGCTTTGAATATGAAGGGAATCAAGTACGAAAAACTTGGAACAAGATCTCAGCAACAAGAGTGCCGAACTTCTCAAGTATAATCCTGTTTATAAGAAAGTACCGGTGCTGGTTCATAACGGAAATCCGATCTCAGAGTCTCTGCTGATCGTTGAGTACATTGATGAAGTGTGGAAAGGAGTTCCGATTTTGCCTCAGGATCCTTATGAGAAGGTCGTTGCTCGATTTTGGGCCAAATTTATTGATGAGAAGGTAATAACTAATAATTTCCTTCTGCCCCTGATCTTCATTTATGCTACTGGTTTTTGTACGTATGCTTATGTAATTGTTAGTGGATGTATGCACATGATTTGATTTCAGCATTATGGAAGAAGGAAATGAACAGACTGATCATGCATCATAGTCTTTAACACTTCTGTTCCTACATTGACGATTATATTCTTTGTTTTGTTCAGTGCATTCCTGCACTATATAAGGCTTTTGGACCCAATGGAAATGAGGAGACTGATAAAGAAGCTTGCGAGCAACTACAAATACTAGAAAATGAACTCAAAGTCAAAGGTACCAAGTTCTTTGGAGGTGACAACATTAACCTGGTCGACATTGCTGCTGATTTCATAGCCTATTGGCTTGGAATAATCCAAGAAGCAGCCGAAAAAACATTGTTCACCAAAGACAAGTTTCCAAAACTCACCCAATGGGCTGATGACTTTGTCAACCTTGAAGTCGTCAATCAAGTCTTACTTCCAAGAGAACGCCTGCTTGCATTTTTCAAGAAACGGTTTGGTAAGGCATAATGATAAGTAGCATTTACAAATAATAAATCTGGTCGTTTTTTAGGTTATGTACTTTTATGAAGTTGAAGTTTTTGTCTATAACATCCATCGATGTTGCAAGAAAAAGCTCTTTGTGTTTGTCAAAGTTAAAGTTTCTGTAACAATCATGGATCGATGTTGCAATAAGTGGTTCTAATCGTAATGATGCTGTTGTAATATGTAGTTTGTGGCATGAGTATATTCTGTATGTTGTTGTATGCAAGGCTTCTTTTTTGTTTTTAATTGAACGTGAGCTCATGAAGAAGATATCTTCCACGACTAGATGATGCCCATGGGTTGTTGGCTTGTTGCTTCTTCCATGTGAAAAAGGACTACCTACTATATCAAATCAAATTAATGAGAGTAAATAACAGAAATCAAAATTTTGTGGTTTTAGAAAAAGAAACTAATGAATTTATAAATCATAAAACTCTCATAACAAATTATCGAGTTGGTTAAACAGTTAAAATAACGTATTCCAAAAATTAAATAACATAAAAACATAAAACGTCAAAAAAACAAAACATAAATGAAGCAACATTACATAAACAAAATTTTAACATGGTTGTTAAAATTATGTGTTTTTTGTCAAAAAATATTTGGTGCATAGTGGTCCAATTTTTTGGATATCTTGTACTTTTTTGTCCAAAAAATGTTAACTTTAATATCTTGGTTGTTAAATTTTTTTTAAATGACAATTTTATCTTCATGGATCATTTCTAATTTTTAATTATTTAAAATCATTAAAATTTATATATAAAACAAAAAAAAACAAATATAAAGAGTATACTCGTCTTTTTAAGTGGTTAAGGTCCTTGCCAATAAAAAAAAATCAAATTTTGGACCATTACTACACCACCAAAACCTTTTTAACCAAAATTAAAATTTTTTGCCCAAATCAATAAAAAAAATTAAATTTTCGACCATTACTACACCACCAAAACCTTTTTGACCAAAATTAAAATTTTTGCCCAAACCAATAAAAAAAATTAAATTTTCGACCATTACTACAACACCAAAACCTTTTTGACCAAAATAATTATTTTTTGCCTAAACCAATAAAAAAAAATCAAATTTTCGACCATTACTACACCACGAAAACCTTTTTTTTGACCAAAATTAAAATTTTTTGCCAACCATATGAACCATTTTTACAACTTTGTTTATTATTATATATTAATAAATATTACTTTCTTGGAGTATTAATTTCATTAATTATTTCTTTTCTTAATTTTGTTTTTAATGGACTAAATATTTTTTTTATGGATTATTATATGTTAAAAAATATTATTTTTAATATATAACATTCACAATTTAATAAATATTATTTTATTGGATTTTGATTTTTTTTATTGAATTATTGTATATTAATAAATATTATTTTTGATATATAACATTTATTTACTAATAAAGATTATTTTAGTGGATTACTATTTTTTTAATTCTGATTTTAAATTTTTTAAATTGTTTTCTATATTATTTTAAAGTCATTCTTGAAAGTTTGTAATCAAATGCTAGATAAATATGACTTACTATTCGATAAGTTCGTTAATGAGTCAGATCAACCTAAAAAATGTTTGAAAAACTATTGCACACTCTCAACTTATGTTCATGTTTTTCCAACAATTACACGATTATAATATGAATGTTAATTAGGTTATTCTAATTTATTATATTTCAAGTTGAATTAACACACCCGGTTGTGTAGTTAGAAACTCCCTTTATATATATATATATATATATATATATATATATATATATATAATATATATATATCTATATATATATATCTATATATATATATAGTTAATTAAATGATTTAATGTTACGTTGTTATGCTTTCTAGCCATTTTAGTTTTGTTACAACCCAATGTTTTATTCTTGATCCGGTTCATGTTGGCCGCTTGAATTGAAGTTAGTTCATTCTCGTTATTCGATTTGTAAAATCTATAAATGTTTTATGAATTGGTGCTAAGTGACACACATCAAATTGTTTCTGTGATGGGATTAACTTCAATGTAAACTAAAATTGCATGTTTTTACGCTTCCGGGCTTGTGAGAAGTATTGAACGTTGTTGGGAACATTCGCACAAAACTTAATATTATCTTTCAATCTATTTATAAGATCTTGTTTAGACTAAGTTATTAAGGTTAGGTTTAATTCAAAGAGCTTGTTTTGATTAAACAATTTCGTGAATGGAAGACGTCAGAGCTTGTTAGTATTTTCAAGTACCAACTTGATAAATTGACCATGTTTGTGACTGTTACTATTATTTTTAAATCGTATCTTCAAATATGATTCCTTGTTTGACGGATTCGACACCCATCAAACACCACCACCATCAACCAGTCCGGGTGGGATTTTTAAAAATAATATAAGGATGGTGGTAGTGTTGTCCAAAAATAAAAGAATTAATCCAATAAAAATGTAATTAAAAAATTAACTAAAAAAATAATAATCCAATAAATTAATATTTATTAATATATAACTATTATACAATAAAAATAATATTTATTAATATATAACAATCCAATAAAAAATAAATCCATTAAAAAAGAAATTATAAAAAAATTAATTAAATAAGTTGATAATCCAATAAAGTAATATTTATTCATATATAAATATTATATATTAAAAATAATATTTATTAATATATAATATTCCAATAAAAAATAATTAATTCAATAAAAAGAAATTGAAAAAGAATTAGCTAAAGTAACTAATGTAATAATTGAATAATTTTTTTTAAAGATGAATGAATGGTCCTTATAGTTTGGTTGTAGAAATGGTCATTGAGAGTAAAATTGACATTTTAAAAAACTTAACAGACAACCTCTTAAAGTTAACGTTTTGGGACCAAAAACGCACAAAGTATCCAAAATTTGACCACTGATGCACCACCAAACATTTTTCTACCAAGACCATATAATTTTGACAACCATAGGGACCATTTTTGCAATTTTTGTCAAAAATATGGACCAAAATTTAACATCCACTCCAGAGTACGATTTTATGCTTTGTAAGCCTAAGTAGAAGAGTTGAGTTTTGGCTTTATGACTCAGACCACGGCGTGGTGATAAGCGTACCACGACGTGGTGACTATTATAACCACGACGTGGCACCGTCATGGGCTCAAAACCTATGGCTTGGATCTTGAGCCCTATTTAAGGAATGATGGGGCTAGGGTTTCTTCCCAACCCCAACCTCCATCTCTCCAAAACATTTCCTCCAAACATTAGACTCCACTATTGTGTTCTAAGCCTTTTGTATGTGTGAGTGTGATGTGGCATTTTGAAGGAAGAATCACCACCCGTTGGAGTTTGAGAGTATCTTGTGGAAGATCCAGCACCTTTATTACCTTCTAAACCATTATAAGTGCTCAAGTTTTCAAGTTTATGGTTTTAAATTCATAGATCTAGCATTTTGAGTCCTTCTTTTGGATTTGGTTAGAGCTTATGGAAGAACTCTAGGTAAAGCTTAAAACTTTACCAATTTGGAGTGTCCCTTGAGTGTTTTATCTATTATATTTGGAACTAGGGAGTGATTTGGGACCATGCAAAGAATAATGGTCTCATTTCTCACTATTTTTGACCTAGAACGGTGTAAGACATGCATGGGTGTGCATGTTCGCAAAGTTATGATTTTTATGACCCTTTTGGGTGCTAGGAAGCCTTCTAGAAAGTATTAGTGGTTGGCTTAATGGATTAAGGGTTTAATCCATTAAGTTCTTTTCGGACAGTTTCCATGACGCTTAGTATGGTTCACCACGATGTGGTGATGGGTTTCATCTGCGACTGTTTTGTAGAGTGGCTGCCACAGCGTGGTCACTAGTTGGCCACGACGCGGTGGCTGAATGTTGACTTTGACCGTTGACTTTTTGACCACTTTGACTTTTGGTCAAACGTGGAGAGGTTTTAAATTATAGCCTGAGATTTGGCTTGTGATTGGTCTAAGAGGTTCGTGTAGCTGATTCTGTGGAATTTCGAGTAGTGGATTACAACTCTTTGATCAGGTGAGTTTTCTCACTATACTATGTAAGACACTAGGTGTCGTGGTATGTTAGATTGTATATATGACTTTTGCATGAAATATTATGGTGGGAACACAACACTTTTATGAAAGGTTGTGGTTGGATCACAACACTTTCATGGAAGACCATGGTGGGACTATGGCGGGAAAGATTGCAGTGAAGTTGTAGCAATAGAAGTGACTGTAAGACTATGGTTGGATCGTAGCATACACACAGGTTAAAATACACCCTAGGGCGGGGCCCACTTTTATGTATGGTATGTGGTATTAGGGGAAAGTCACTAATCGTTGTGCTTATGGTTTAAGTTTAAATGATCGTGTACCACCAGTAGCAAGAGAAAAGAACAATTATGATTGTGTTGCATCCATCGATGATTTCCACACTACGAGATTTTGGGATTACTCTCATATTTTTATGAAAAAAATTTACTTATGTTTTGGATTAGTTGGCTTGTGGATTTTATTGAATGGTTTTAATTACTTTAAAATTTAGAGTTTTCTTCTAGTATTTTTGGAATAATACAAGTTAGTATCAGAGCATTGGTTTGAGGGTTCAAGCCAGCACAGGGTGTGTCTGAACTAAAACTGATCAGGAATTAATAAAACCTTTTCACAAGAAAACATTTTCTAATAAAGGGTTTTCAAAAGAAAAAATGGGGTGCGATGCATGCAATCAGCCGAGCTCAAGTAATTAATTCTCAGAATAAACATACATGAATGTTATGTTTAGCGTGATATCATATGAGTTGCATGCTAGTACTAGGCTAAGAATCTTCTTAGGGTTGCATGCTAGAATTCCTATTAGAGTAATGCCTTTTATGCCTGTTATGTTTTGATAGAGAAATGATTTAGGATTTATGCTAATTCTAGTAAATTATTTGATGAATGCATTAGGATGGTACATGTTAACGTATGGTCCATTAGCTTGGCCTAGACGTCAAGACTTGGTGCGCTAGTCTTTCCTGGTGCTCTCCTGGCATTCATCTTCTAGTTTTGTCTGGCGCCCGCGCCTAACGCTCGCCTTACGCCCGAGCGCTCTCTCACAGCTCCTTGCTAGTTGGGCCTGAGTTGGGCTGGCTCAAGGCCTGACCTATCTCTCCCTTGACCTAATTGTCCCATATAAATAGAACATGATCTCCTCCATGAGGAGGGATCTAAAACCCTAGAGCTTCTAAAAAGCTTCTAACCAACCTCTAGTCACCCTCTCTAACCTACACCTTCATATCGGCCTCAAT